CCCAGGCCCCCGTGGCGTGTGGACGTCTGTCCCGCGCGCCCCCAGGCCCCCGTGGCGTGTGGACGTCTGTCCCGCGCGCCCCCAGGCCCCCGTGGTGTGTGGACGTCTGTCCCGCGCGCCCTCAGGCCCCCGTGGTGTGTGGACGTCTGTCCCGCGCGCCCTCAGGCCCCCGTGGTGTGTGGACATGGACGTGTCTGTCCCCACCCTCCTGCGGGTGTGTGGACATGTCTGCCCCCTGAGCTGAGGAGTGAGGTGTACCTGGAGCAGGTCGCTGAGGTCCAGGAGCATGTCTGGAGCAGAAGTCAAGGAGCAGCATGGTAGGTGGGGGCGCAGGTCACCCAGACACTCTATAGAAGCAGCAACAGCATGCCCAGCGAGCGGGGCCTTCGGGTTTGCTAAGTCCAAGTCCAGCATCTGGGCATGAGGGAGAGTGAGGTGGCAGCACCAGGCTGACGGAACCCCCCGCGCCCCCGTGCCAGGGAAAGGAGACCTCGGCCGGCCCCTGGCAGGACAACAGGGAATGGGAAGGAGGGGTTTTTCAACCCGGGCCTCCACGAGCAGCACCTCCCCAATCAGGGCCACCACCATGAGGGGTCTTGTGTGGGCTGACCCTGCAAGGAAACGGGCGGACACACCCAAGCTCAGTACAAGAGCCTCCTGGGCAGAAGACAGACGTGAGCATGGGCCCTCCTCTGCACAAGGCCCACGGTCTCCTGGGAGACAGACGGACAGACACCGGGCACCCTGGGTAACGGGATCCTGTGAACACCATGAACAGTGCCATCACTCCAGGGAAGAGCCACTGGGATGCTCACGTGGGACCAGGCCTCTTTCGATCAAATGCGTAAACAGTACTGAGAAGATGTCCTATACGATTCAAAGCTCAGACGGCGTGTGTGAGCAAAAAGATAAAGCACAGGTCAGCAACTGAGGCAGCTTGTCAAGTGACATGAAAATCAGTGCCATTCAAGGCTCTGCTGTAGCCTCAAGGAGTCAGTAATAGAGACAGCTCCGTGGTGCCGGATCAGAAGTCCCAGACCATGTGCCCAGAGGAAAACCCCGGGGCCTCAGATGGACCACGGAGGAAGAAAGCTCCAGAGTGCGACAACCTTACACAAGCCACAGACTTCTCGGAGGTGGGCGCCAAGGCCAGTGAGCACAGGCACATTTTCCCTCAGCCTTCAAGGAGCTTCACCCACTGTGGGGCACAGCGGTGTGAGACAGGTCACACCACAGCAGAGACCAACATACCAGGAGGGGCCGCGGGGACAGAGGAGCAGGGCCAGACCAGGAGGGGCCGCGGGGACAGAGGAGCGGGGCCAGACCAGGAGGGGCCGTGGGGACAGAGGAGCGGGGCAGACCAGGAGGGGCCGCGGGGACGGGGTGGGGCAGACCAGGAGGGGCCGCGGGGACAGAGGAGCGGGGCAGACCAGGAGGGGCCGCGGGGACAGAGGAGCGGGGCCAGACCCCAGGAAATGAGAGGAAGGCAGCACTAAAAGTATAAGCAGAAATAATGACAAACCACAGAAAACATCAACAAAGCTAAAAGTTGTCCTTTGTAAACATCTACAAGATTGACAAACCCTTGCTAGACTGATCAAGGAAAAGAGACAGAAATTACCAATATGAATGAGAGAAGTTATGACTGTAGATGCTGTAACATTACATGGATAAGGGAAGAGTATGAACAACCTTATACAAGTTAGACAACTTCTATAAAGTGAACAAATTCCTTGAAAAATACAATTTGTCAAAACTGACAATCTGAATAGTCCTGTATCTATTGAAGGAATTAAATTTATCAAAAAACCTTCCCACAAAAAACTCCAGACTATGTGGCTTCCCTGGTGAATTCTATCAACATTTAAGGAAGAAATGACTATGGTTTTCACTTTCAGAAAGCAATCTCAACTCATTTTATGAGGCAGGCATAATCCTGATAGAAAACCCAGCAAAGACATCCCATAAAGATAAAACTATTGACCGGTATCCCTTATGAACACAGACTCAAAATCTTTAAAAAAAATACTAGCTAAGAAGCTGCATCAATACAGAAGAAGGGTCACATCATGAGGGAGCAGGCTGATCCCGAGAGTGCAGGTTTGGTTTAACAATGGAAATTTGATCCATGGAATTTACCATCATGAACAGAACAAAGGGGAAAAATCCAGTATGATAATTTCCGTATGATGCAGAAAAAGCATCTGACAAAAATCTAAGACCCATTTATGATAAAAACACTCAACAAACTGGGAATAGACAGAAACTTAATCTGATAAAAGGCAACTATAGAAATCCCACAACTCACCTCATACTTAGTGGCAAAATGGCAAATGCTTTCCCCCAAGATTGGGGACAAGGCAAGGATGCACCCACTCTCACCACTTGTACTAGAGACCCTAACAAATAATAAGGCAAGAAAAAGAAATAGGATGAAGATTGGAGAGGAAGAAGGAAAACTGTCTCTATTTACAGACAACATTATTGTTTTCACAGGAAATGCTAAGGAATCCTCAAAACAACTTCTAGAACTAGTAATTGCATTTAGCAAGGTCGCAGGACACAAAGTTAATATACAAAAATCAATTGTATTTTATATTTTTATGTATTAGCAGCAAAAGATATAAAATTAAACACAATTCCATTTACAAGACCATCAGAAAATATAAAAACAGACATATATTTAATGAAATTCGTGCAATACTTGTATATTAAAAGTGACAAAACGTTACTGATAGAATTTTTAAAAGACCTAAATAAATGGACATACATGCCATTTTATTAACTGGAAGACTCAATGTTGATGTCAATGGCCCCCAAGCTGATCTATAGAATCAATGCAATCCAAAGCTCAAATTTATATGGAAATGCAAAGGACCTAAAGTATTCAACTCAATCTTGAAAAAAGAAGGCAAAGCTGGAGGACTTACACAGCTGACTTCAAGACTTACAACCAAGCCACAGTCATCAAGGCAGTGCGGTGGTGGCATCAGGATCCACAACAAGAACAAGGGAGCCCAGAGTCCCACACACAGTCAATTTGGCGTTTGATTTTTACAAAGGTGCCAAAACACGTCAATGTGGAGGGCAAAGTCTTTTCAGTGGTGCTGGAGCAACTGTATATCCATATAGAAAAAAAGCTAAATTCAATCCCTACCTCACACCATACACAAAATGAAGTTGAGCTGGATCATAGACCCAAAGGTAAAAGTTAAACTGTAAAGCAATTAGAGAAGAAAACGCAGGAGAGTATCTTGGTCACTTGGGCGGAACTTTATTAGATAGGACGTTAGAACGCGATAACCATAAAATAAAGAGTTGATAAGTTAAATGTCATCAAACTTAATTAAGACAATATTAATAACATGATTAGGCAAGCCAAAAACTGGGAGAAAACATCTGCAAAACATATTTGACAAAGAACTAGTATCTAGGATATATATAGAACTCTTACAATTCAATAATAAAAAGATAAACCATCCAATTTTAAAAATGGGCAAAAGTTTCAAACAGATGCTTCACAAAGGAAAGTGAACAGCCAGTAAGCACATGACAAAGTACTCAGCATCATTAGTTATCATGGAAATGCAAATTATACTGCAACACCGCCACACACCCACAATACCACCAAATGCTGGCAAGGACATGGAGCAACTAGAATGCTCATAAGCTGCTGCTGGTGCAACCACTCTGGAAAAAGGCCTGGCAACTTCTTATAAAGCTAAACATACACCTATTCTATCACTCAGCAATTCCACACCTAAGTATTTACCCAAGAGAAATGAAACCACAAGTCCACAAAGAGACTTGTATGAGAATGTTCACACCAGCTTTATTCCTAAGAGCCCCAAACTGAAAACATCTCAGGTGGCCATCAACAGAAAATCTATAGTTTAACTGTCATGTATTCACACAATGCAATACTACTACTCAGCACATACAGTAACATGGATGAATCTCAAAAGCATGCTAAGAGCACACACTATTTGATTCCATGTATGTAAAGTTCTATGACAGGCAAAAGGTATCTATGGTGGAAACTATCAGAACAGCAGTTGTCTCTGGGGGTAGGGATGGGGCAGGGACTGACTGGTAGTAGAGCACGAGGAGCAATATGGAGCCATGGTGATGTTCTATGTCTTGGAAGGGAGTGGACTGCACAGGTTGTACTTTTGTTAGAAGTCATCTGTGGGACACTTAGAATTTGTGCATCTTATGTCAGTTTTACCTCAAAAGGAAAAAAGAACTGTAAGCAAATACTGAAACCTGGTGGTGGGGGTAGTACATGGATGTATGCATATTACTTTGAAATGCACCAAAAACTAAGATGGCTGAGGGATGCGAGGCAGGTGGGGAGAAGAAGGATCTGGGGCAGAGCAAGGATCGCCATGTGCTAACGGCAGACTTGGGAGGTGGGTGTATGGTGTCCACTGTACAATTCTTTCACCTTTATTTTGTTTGAGAATTTTCAGGATAAAATACTAGGAGAAAACTATGTATAGTTAAGAAAACAAATTGGAATTAAACTTCTTAATTAAGGTTGAAGTCTATACAACACATAGCATGTTGGTGTGTTGTTGCTGTTAGCTGCTGTCAAGTCAGCCCCCAGCTCATGGCAACCCCACGCACAAAAGAACACAAGGCTGCCCAGTCCTACATCATCCATATGATGGGCTGTGGATCACACCATTATGATCCATGGGGTTTTCACTGGCTGATTTCAGAAGCAGATCACCAAGTTTTCTTCCTAGTCCGTCTTAGTCTGGAAGCTCCGCTGAGACTTATTTAGCATCACAGCAACATGCAATCCACTGGAGAGCAGGGTCATTGCCTAAATGGTCTCAGAGAACAAAGGATTATTTTCAAGCCTTGAGAGCTAATGTAGGGTGTTCTGCTGACTTGCTCGATGCCTGTTATCCCTTCTTTCCCTCCAATTTCTATCATTTGTAATGGAAAGGTTCAGCTTGTGGCTGTCCCACCATTGTACTTTGGAAGCAGATAACCCGTATTCTAGATTTCACAGATCAAGAGGAATTCTGCCCCAGGAGATTATGGACTTGGAGTTGATTTAAGACTTCTGCTATGATACGATGGGGTGAATATGTTTTACCTGTGGCAAGGACACGAATTTTGGGGACCCAAAAGGTAGAATGTTATGGATTGAATTATGTCCCCCTAAAATGTGTGTCAACTTGGCTAGGTAGGCCATGATTCCCAGTATTGTGTGGTTGTCCACCATTTTTTGATCTGATGTAATTATCCTATGTGTTGTAAATCCCAACCTCAAAGA